TACACTTGTGTAGCCAAAACTTTGACGGTTTTGCCAAATATAGCCACGTTTGGCGAAATACCAAAAATAGCCACTTCCGTCCAATTGTTTGACGGTGTTAGTTAACGTGCTGACTGTACTAGCGAAAAAGCTGACATGTCAACCTTTTAGTAAATAAAATTACGTGGAACTAACAGAAAATATAAAAATAAAATATTTTATTTTATTCTCCCTATCGGTTCTTTCCCCTTTCGTACCCCAACCGCCGCTCATCCTCTCGCACTCCCCCTTTCTCCACCGAAAATCTACCTCTGCAACTACCCCTCCACGCCGACGCATCTTTCCTCGCTAGGTTCCACTGACGCTCTCGTCCATCACCAGCTGCTGAAGGTCCTCATCGAGCAGGCGTTTTGAAGGAGCCGGTGTTGGTCCTCTCTCGTTCTGACCATCTTTGCATCAGGGCTTGGATGCAGGGGAGGTGGTGACAGAGAGATGGGGAAAGGCAATAGTTCCTCGGTCACATCGATGATGTTGGTAGGGAGCAGCGAGGGGAGCTGGCGGTGTCGACGAATTTCAAATTGGGGTATGGATTGGGAACGACGGCGACGCTTGCTTGGGTCTCGTTTATGCTTTTATTTGCTATCATCAAAGTCTCTGAAGCCACTTCTCCTCGGCGAAGGGTGATTGCATTTGGATTTGGTCCCTTTCTGTACTATACCTAGCTGTACCTTCCTCCCTCCTCGGTGCATTTGGAGACGAAGCGGCAAAGAAGTGATACAGAGGGATTTATCCGATTTCATTTTAGGGTTCGATTGTTGTCTGGGATCGAGATGGGATCAGCAACCTGGGTCTTCTCCTCTATGGAATTGGGAGAACAGAGCAGCGGCATGGAGATTAGGCGTCGATTGCTGTCTCCATCTTCTTTCTTGTGGTTGTCGAAGCGTCAGCGGATGACAAGATCGGAAGAATCGTCGAGAGATTTTCCAGATCCAACCATCACAAGGCCCAATCGACGAAATGAATCTCTCGGGAATTGAAGAAGTGAGAGAAGGCGTGGGCGATTGCGGATGCGTTCCAACGCAAGTGTGCGACACCGGTGGAGAAATTGCAGAAGCTCGCCGATGTTATAGCTGAGGAGATGCACGCCGGGTTGTCGTTGGACGGCGGGAGCAAGCTCAAGATGCTCATTAGCTACGTCGATAATCTCCCCGCTAGGTATAAACTGATTCCCTATGTTCTTGTCTCTCTTCCTCTGATTTTGTTCTTCTGGCTACGATTGGATTTTAATTTTTTACATTGTTATCTCCAGAGATAGAGAAAGGGTTGTTTTACACGTTGGATCTTGGTGGAACGAATTTTCGGGTGATGAGAGTGGTGTTGGACGGTGGTCGGTGAGCGGAACCGGGGCGTTTTTTTGTGTGTGGTTATAATGGATTTTTTGTAAAAAAATTAATTAATTAAAAATAAAACCTTACGTGTCAACTACGTGTCACTTGAGGTTCAGTTATTGCTGACGTGGATTTTGAGGTGGCATCCTAGTCAACAAAACGTTAACTTAACTGATGGAATATCTAACACCGTTAAAGTTTATAACGGAAATGGCTAGATTTGTCATTCAATCATCTAAATTCTGGCTATTTTTGGTATTTCGCCAAAAGTGGCTATATTTGGCCAAACCGTCAAAGTTTTGGCTATACAGATGGATTTTGCTTTTTTTTTTTTTTGTTCTTTTAGTTTATTAAGGTTTTCGTATTTATTTAGTATTCTTATGTAGCAATAATCCCAAAAATAATTAAAATATTCCATCGTCATCGAACCTTTATTCTTCAGTCAACAGAGAGATATCATGGTACATATATAATTAAGTTTGGACGATAAGATTAGCTGACGTATCACGATGAATGTTGAGAAGGCCAAAGCTTTGGAGGATTTGAGCCAAGTACAGACAACTATTTAGCAGTTCTATCTATGTACCTCTATAATAATATATATTTTTTTTACGTAGTTTATCCTCATTCACGCTATTTGATACTTCGTGTAATATTATGGTAATTCATGTAAGAGAATGAGTTATTCACGTAATGAAAATTCAGACTTTTTTCTTCTAGTAATATGTATGGAAGCAACCTGATGTGGCCGGCCATGTGGGGATCAAGCAAAGGATTCCAACTTGAGTTAGGTGTTTTACAACAAGAAAGTAGGGTGCGCGGGAGCTAGAAGGCTCCTAATATGATCCAACACTTTTATTATTAACAATTCACAGATCATGCCAGGGCCGGCCTAGAGGGTGTGCTGGCCCGCCCTCCGGCACAGGGCCTCCGAATATTAGGGGCCTCCACTTAGATCCGTTAGTTACCGATCGTACATTGTAGATTATATTTTTAGTATATGATTGATTGATTATGAGTATGATGACGATTTTAATAGATAATTTTAGCTATAATAACAATTAAAAATGATATCATGAAGACTACGAAAATAAGAAAGATAATAGATAATTTTATGGGTAACGTCTATTTTTTATCCAGACCTTTTTCAGATTCTTTTATAATATCCAAACCTATCGAAATACTAAAAATTAGCCCAATGTTAACTTTCGGTTAGCATTTTTGTTAGTAATATTGACTTGACAACATGATACTGACTTGGAAGAGACACATGAAGGTCAAGATTCCAAAATTTTAGTATTTTAACTAAGAAAAGAGTTACAAAATTATTAACAATAACGTAAAAATGACTAATATTTTGGTGCATTATGAAAAATTTGGCTAATTAATAAATTTTTAATAGGTTTGGATAATATAAAAGAATCTGAAAAAGGTTTGGATAAAAAATAGACATTACCCTAATTTTATTTTAAGCTATGTAGAAAGATATTACAGTCATTTTAGTTTTATTATAGTTAAAAATCAATTTAGACCACGTCTCAATTTTGGAACAAGGCCCCCACGAAGCATTAGACAGCCCTGGGAATTTGGTTTTGGTTTCTTCGTCAAACTAAAAAGGTGATCATTTATTTCTTTTGTAATCATTTTCTGAGACTATGTATTTTTTTATAATTATTTAATAAATTTTATTTTTAATAAATTTGTGGAGAAAAATTTTAGGGCCACATTTTAAATTTTCGAACAGGGCCTCCGAATATCATGGGACGGCCCTGGATCATGCAATTCAGTTAATTATTTATAAACACTCTCCGAAATCTATCTCAATAACAACAGGGCGAAGGGCGATGGTTGCCGTGCCCGGTGGGTCTCGAAACACTTCCCCTGACCCCACGCCCAAATTTGCGCACCTCATGAACTATCGTCCCGCCGCCGGCAGCCTCGTCGCCGGTACCGATACTGCTCGTCGCCACTGCACCAAACCAAACCACAAGAACGCATTAATGAAGATAAAATAACGACATAAAAAAATAATAGCCGATCCAAACGAGGAGAAGATGTAGCTAATCTATTAGCACTGACCCGTGGCGGCGGAGGCGGCAGAAGGAGCTCTAGCTGCTCCGACCAGTACCATCTTGTCTTCAGGCAACGAGAACAGGACGACCAGAAGCAGAGGAATGATGTAAATACCAAGACCAGTACTTCTCCTGCTGTGATTTCCCATTAGTTATCTTGGTTTTTTTGGCTCCGTGATGTTGTAATTAGAACAAGCCTACGAATTTATGCCCCCATTTATATAGTGAGGGAGCAGATACATGCAGTTTCCCTCCGATGGAAAAAGTTTAAGGAAACAGAGTCGACATTGGGATGAAGCATCTAGGAAATGTTATGATCGGTCTTTATTCTTATCTCCCTGGATTCAACTTGACTGTTTTTTTTTATTATAAGACAATGGCTAGCTAGCAGCCGGACAACTTTAGTTGCACTTAACTGTATATATGTTGTTACAGCACGCCTACCGCACTCTGTCTGCTTAAATATTGATTTCCATGTATATTGTCAGATCATGCAAGAGAGAGAGTACAGTCAGTACACGAAAGATAATTAATTAGAAACAGTATAATTAGTGTTTGGTTCATCCGGATAGTATTTGTCGTTATTAGGGAAACATCCAGGAACGTGATTATCTCACCTTGGAGTCAACCTAGGCAACGTACACCAAGTTTGGTTCATCGATCTAACTAAGACATTAGTAATTAAATAGAAATTAAACGATAATTGAGAGGAGGCCAGTGTACTCAATTCCCTAGCTTAATAATTAATAGTCCTCCTACATAATACAAAAAAAAAAAAAAAGAGCTAAAAGAATTATTAGCGAAAACAAATAACAATTCTTCATTTGTTCACTTGCCTTGCATGCCTCTGCTTAAACATCTTCCAATTCACTCTTCTTAATCACTTAAGTGACACATCAAACAACAAATTAATCACTTGATAAATCTGTGGTGTAATATTCTCAGGGTTAAAGACACATTTGGTCACTGAGATTACAAAATTGGGACATGTTTAGTCACTAGAAAAAGTTAATATCAAATTTGGTCACTACAATTACTAAAACATGACACATTTAGTCACTCGTCATTAGTCTCCGTCCAACTCCGTTAATGAAATCCGTTAAGTGCTGATGTGGCAAACAGAATTGCCTAATCAGCCGGATATAACCCAACAAAAATAAAACCCGACCCGCCACGTCATTATAACCTGTCACGTCATTAAAACCAACCCAACCCAACCCATGACCCAACACCACCCAACCCTTCTTCCTCCTTCCTCCCACCTCGGCACCTCTCATCTCCTTCTTTCCCCAAAACCACCGTCGTCGCCGCTCTCCTCCTTCCTCCCACCTCCTCCCGCAAACCTGTTCGACCTAACCCAGCAGAGGAGACATCCTTCACCATCCCTCACCAAATCTGTTCGTCTCCCTGCTTGGCATCTTTCTCCACTCCTCCCCACAGGCCACAGCCGCCGCTTCTAATCTTCTCCGAGATCCCGCTGCGAAATCTCTGATTCGACCGACGAATCTCTCGAACTAAATTGATGAAATGGCCGGTCAGTCTGGCTCTCAGCTCTCGCTCTTCACTCCCGACGAGGTTCGTCTTTCTGCGGGCATCCATTTCGTCCATGGCTAGGATTCGACTGGCACAACCCTTCAATCCCTGAAATGGGCGCCGCCTCTCGATCCCCAAGCCGGCAGTTGTACGAAACGTCGAGTTTCTCCAGCTGCGAACACGCCGAAGCAATCAGCGCCAGGCCCTTAAACGACATCTCGTTCGTCGCCCTGCTCAGATTCAGGGACCTCAAGTTCCAACGAAGCGACGCCATCGTCGAAGCGGCGCCGCGAGCCAGCAGCAGTGTCAGCATCCCGTCGTCGACCCGCGAGCAGGCGGAGAGATCCAGGGCGTCGACGTTTGGGAACCGCCGGAGTAGAGAGAAGATGAACTCGGACCGCGAGACCCAGAGAGATTTTCGGGTCAGGGAATCGACCCGGAGGAACTCCTTGCACACCAGTCGCCACGATCTCCGTTCGGCGCCGTCTTCGATTCTGGAGTTCACCCTAACTAGCAGGTCCTCCGTCAATACTGCCAGAATTGACATTGGAGGAAATGCCGATTTGTACCTTATTCGAATTGGACCGGAGAAATTGCAATTTGAGATTAGCAATGAGAGGGTTTATGAACTCTGGCGATGTAATTGATCGTCGTCGAAGAGGGGGGGGGGATGAGGTAGAGTGATAGAGAATTTAGGTGGGGACGAAGAGGAAGAGGAGGCGGAGGTGGAGGAGGAGGTGGCGGGAGGGTTTGGAGAGGATGCGGGAGAGGACGAGACAGATCTTACGGATCCGACTCATTTCGGCGGCGGCGGAGACCGGCTCACCGGAGAATGGAAGCAGCAACAGCGGCAGGGGAGAGCGGCGACGGCGGTGGTTTTGGGGAAAGAAGGAGGTGAGAGGTGCCGAGGTGGGAGGAAGGAGGAAGAAGGGTTGGGTGGGGTGGGGTTGGGTTGGGTTGGTTTTAATGACGTGGCGGGTTATAATGACGTGGCGGGTCGGGTTTTATTTTTGTTGGGTTATATCCGGCTGATTAGGCAATTCTGTTTGCCACATCAGCACTTAACGGACTTCATTAACGGAGTTGGACGGAGACTAACGGCGAGTGACTAAATGTGTCCGGTTTTAGTAATTGTAGTGACCAAATTTGATATTAACTTTTTCTAGTGACTAAACATGTCCCAATTTTGTAATCTCAATGACCAAATGTGTCTTTAACCCAATATTCTCATCATTCTTGAACATGTCATATGTCATGCTCACATCAAGTTGACGTCATCTTAATATTTGAGCGAGTTTTAAATTATGATTAATAGCATAAATTGCCCTTCTATTATGTTTATTCTCAAATTTCCCTCTCTACTATATTTCACATCAAACTTGCACTTTTACTATTATCATGATATATATCCTTCTGTTACATTTTCCATCCATATTTTGTATATTCCATTTGAACCATGGTTAACTAGGTGGAAATATCATTTCTACCCCTAAGAATTTGTCTACCGAGAAAAGAAAAGGAAAATATGAAAGGCACGACGACCAGAGGGTGGAGATTTCTTTTCTTCATCTTTGCCCCTGTAAACGACACAGCGCCGGAAAGTACATAGGCAATCTTCTCTAGTGGTGAACGACACAGCAAGGAGCATCTATGGTGTTATTGTGGAGCGGGGTAAGATTGATCCCCGAATTCGAATTTCCAAATGCTCGAACCCCTATTTCATTTGCAGGCGATGTTATTGCTATTGCTTTCATGAAATAGATTAATTTTGTTTGTTAACACCATAGATAGGTTGAAACCCTAAAAGCCCTTAGGCTGCATCTCATTCATCATTTGGTTTATATAGCTATTATTGTAAAATCTGCTAGAACGCGGAAGAACAACACAACGATTTACGTGGTTTCCCCGTTCGATGCGAACGAGACTACTTCACGGAGAGCCGAAGCTCTCGGTTTATTTTATTAGTCTTCGCAGAATGTGAGCTGCGGAACGTACAACTCAAAGCCGAACAGCCAAGCTAATATACCTGGTCTACTACGTTGCCTAGGGTAATTAGGTTAAGCAACAAATAACCAAAAGGTCCTCAAAGTAATTAACGTGTACAAGAAGACTCCATACAGTTCAACACTCCCCCTCAACCTGTAGCATGCAGGACACGAATGCCAAGCTTGCCAAGAAGATGATGAAACTGCTCCGCTCCCAAAGCCTTGGTGAAGATATCTGCAAGTTGTGAAGAACTACCAATCTTCACCGGTGATATCTCCTTCGAAACCACACGTTCTCGTCCAAAGTAACAATCCATTTCTACATGCTTTGTTCGTTCATGAAAGACTGGGTTGGCTGCAATGTGTAGAGCGGCCTAATTGTCACAATGTAAAGGTGTCGGACTTGACTGTGGCACCCCAAGTTCTCCGAGAAGGAACCGAAGCCACAAGACCTCGCTAACAGTACTTGCCATCGATCGATACTCCGCTTCAGCCGAAGAGCGAGACACCACCTTTTGTTTCTTCGTCCTCCACGAGACCGGTGCACCTCCCAACTGTATGTAGTACCCTGTAGTGGACCAACGAGTCGTTTGGCATCCTCCCCAATCTGCATCACAATAAGCTGTGAGCTCAAGTGACCCACCTGCAGGGAAGAATAACCCTTCCTGGCGACTTCTTCAAATACCGAAGCACCCTCATTGCCGCAGCAACGTGTTCCTGGCTAGGCGAACCAACAAACTATGACAAAATGTTAACAGCATAAGATATGTCGGGTCGTGTTACCGTAAGATAAAGAAGTCGACCCACCAATCGTCTGTAGCTACTAACATCATCTACCACTGCTTCAGTCGACTTTGTGAGGGTATGATTCTGCTCCATGGGAAAATTACTCGGCCGTAAACCTGAGACACCTGCATCGTCCAGTATATCCAAAGTATATTTTCTTTGACTCAAAACTTCTCCATCAGATGACCTGGCCACTTCAATGCCTAGAAAGTATTTCAAAGGTCCCAAATCTTTGATGTTGAACTTCGCATCCAAAAAACTCTTAACCTTTGCAATGAAATCTTGATCTCTACCTGTCAAAATCACGTCGTCTACATATATTAGAGCTGCAACAAAAGTCCCCCCTTGCGATATATAATTAGCGAGTGATCTGCCTTGGAAGGCCGAAAACCGAGCTAGGACAGGGCGAGAGTAAACTTCTGGTACCAGTTACGGGAAGCCTGTCGCAGTCCATGAATGGACTTCTTGAGACGGCAAACCCGCGTGTCCCCTAGTGTACCGAAACCGGGTGGTAGCTTCATATACACTTCCTCTTCCAGATCCCTATGCAAAAATGCATTATTCATGTCTAACTGATGCAAGGGCCAGCCGCGATTCACCGCAACAGCAATGAGAACACGAACTGTAACAATCTTGGCAATGGGTGAAAAAGTGTCATGAAAATCAATACCTTCCAGCTGAGTAAATCCCTTAGCTACCAAGCGTGCTTTGAACCGCTCAATGGAGCCATCGGGAAAATACTTTATCTTAAACACCCATTTAGCATCAATAGCTTTCTTGTCGGGTGGTAAGAACGTTAACTCCCAAGTGTGATTAGCAATAAGAGCACGTATCTCTCGTGTCATCGCTTCACGCCAGCGCACATCTCTCATCGCATGCAAATAATGCCGAGGTTTCTCAATTTTGGCAATGACAGTGAGGTAAGCCTTATGCTCTGGAGAGAAGCGATGATAGTTGACATGATTAGACATAGGGTAGGTGACTGTGGAAGCCGTAGAGGAGCAGCTCGGGAGCTCAGTGTCGTAAATATCAACCAAGTGACGCGGAGGGCGCTTCTCACGGAGACTGCGATGAAGGGGCAGCGTGCCAGGAACTGGCTGAGAAGTAGAAGCAGGAAGAGGAGAAGACGTTGCGGCCTGGTCAACATGCAACGCATCCTCGGCCGAACCTTCATGCAGAGCATGCACGTCCTCTTCTTCACGTGGAGAGGTGGGCACATCAAGATGTTCACTTGTGGTCTCTGGGACGTCAAAAGCATTAAGGTTGCTGGGTGTAGATGGAGATGACAAAACAGGAGGAGCTGGCGAACTCGCGCGGTAAGGAAAGTGATCTTCAACGAAACGAACATCCTGTGAAGTGACTACCTTCCGCGACTTAAAGTCATACACGCGATACCCCTTCTGGCTTGCCGGATATCCAATAAACACGCCTGTTCTCCCCCTTTCGACGAACTTATCAAGATTCGGACTGGTGTCCTTGATGTAAACAAGACACCCAAAGCTCCTAAGATGATGATATGGAGGGATGCGACCAAGTAAAACCTCAAAAGGCGTTCTATTTCCAAGAGGCTGAGAGGGTAAGCGGTTGATGAGGTTGGTTGCAGTAAGAATACAGTCACCCCAAAACTACACCGGCAACCTGAATGGTAACGAAGTGCCCTGGCCATCTCAAGAAGGTGGCGGTGTTTCCGCTCTGCCACCCCATTCTGTTGCGGTGTATTTATGCACGAGGTCTGAAGAACGATGCCATTCTCCTTATAAAACTCCCGCAACCCGGTAGTCTGAAATTCTAACTCATTGTCGGCCTAAATCCGATGCACCTGTCCATTATACTGATTCCCTACCATCTGACAGAAAAACCGAATATATCGTTCGACATCGGACTTAAATTTCAGTAAATAGACCCAAGTAGCTCGGCTAAAATCATCCACTATCGTTAAGAAATAACATGATCCATCCAAAGCAGGGGTTCGATAACCTCCCCAAATATACATGTGAACAAGCTCAAAACAAGCAAGAGTCTTAATCGAATGAGTAACGAAAGGTTCTCTAGCCAGTTTGGCACGCAAACAAGAATCACAATCCTGTGTCTTATCAACACAATCCGACAAAGACAAACAAGTATGCAAGGGCCGAAGCTTCTCAATAGACGGATGGCCTAATCTCGCATGCCACAACTCAACTGTGGCCTTGCTAGTAGCTCCTGCGAAACCCGTGGTCACCACGTCCCCAAGTCGTTCGCCTCGATCCTCAAATCGTCTGAGATAATATACCCCGTCACGGAGATGACCCAGTCCAATCGTAGTCTTGGAGCGTGAGTCCTGGATGACGCAAAGATCAGCCACAAAAGTCAAGGTCACTGCATTGTCTTTGGTCAAACGACTCACGGACAATAAATTGCACGTGAAACTAGGAACATAGAGAACCCGGTGTAGCCGAAGTTGTGAACTCAATCTAGTAGAGCCTACACCCAATACTGGCACACTCGTGCCATCCGGAATACGAACATGCGAACAAGAGTCTTCACTGTCTAAACGATCTAACCAACGAGAATCGTGCACAATGTGCTCATTACAACCTGAATCAATGACCCACTCAGAAGGTTCAGAAAAATTACCAGCCATGTGCGCAGTGGGTTCCGAGGTCGGAGGAGCAGGAGGTGTAAGCAATTGCTTAAGTTGTGCGAACTGTGCAGCAGACAATCCGGGGATCGGACTGTCTTCGGCTTCAACAGTTGCAGCCTGTGGCTGCTTCATGTCAAGCTTAGTACGACGAGC